TAAGTATTTTTAATATAATATATACTTATACAATACACATATAATATAATGATAGGAACTATATTCCAAATATATATATATTATATAATAAATATACTATTAATAGATTCTTCTCTCTCATATATACAAAGTATGGAATGATAATTATTACTTTTTTTTTTTTTTTTTTTAAATTATCGATTCTCGAAGTGACGTCTCTGACTTGATACATGCGTGTACGTATATACATGCATACACATATACAAAAAAATAAGAAGTTTACGAAGACATCATCTGTATATGCTTAAATGAACAAGTAAGAATGAGACAGTGAGATTACAAAAGACAGTAACTCGCAATCATTCTTTCTCGTTTTCTTTCAATAATGTTTTCAACTCACACTACGCAACTTACGCACACAAACATTTTCTCTCGTTTATCCTTATTTTCTTCTTCTTATTCTTCTTCTTTTACTCCTTTCTCTTCCTCTTCTTCTACTTCTTCCATTTTTTTTTTTATTTCAGATTTTCTCTTCTTACTTCTGTTTCACTTTCAAACGTTTAATACGATACTTGGATTCTGAATCGCAAACAACTAACACGACTTACTATATCTTCTTCTTCAAATTAATTTATATCCATGAATCTAACAAAAACAAATTGGAAAATTAATAAGATATAACAAGAAGTAAATTAATTTACTGGGATGGTTCTATTACAAAGTGAAAATTGTGCTAGAATTCTTTATACTTACGGTACCTTTGGTAAGTTAACATACATATATACACATACATATACCTATAAATACAAATTCAATGTTTATAACAAAATTAATACAAATATATGATGTTAGTTAAAATGATTTCATTTATAAAGTGCAAATTTATACGAGAATTTGTTTAAATACATAAATTTATCTGTATATATATATATTATATTTTTTATATTTATATATATATAAAATTATATTATTTGTTATATTCGTATATATATATATATATATATTACGTTCACGTAGTAAAATTATATTATTATTATATTTTATATATATTATATATATAAAATTTTGTTGAATACTTTAAGAAATGAAAAGAAAAAAATTCATTATATTATAAAAATGCAATTTTAATAAGAATTTTGTTATACGTATAACACCTTTGATAAGAACAGACACACAGATACACATTCCACGTGTTTACTACGAGACCAACGCATTCTTCCTTATTTATGTTTATGACATCGAATCAGCTGTTTTGCCGGCTACTTCACATATATGTATAAATATATGTAAAGAAGTTACGTATACATAAACGAGTGTACTACATATATATACACGTATTTACGTATACTCAATATCATAAATTTATTTACTTATCTTTCAGTCTTGTGATAACAGTCAACCGGTTAAATACTGTATTTAAAAATGATTTCATTTTTTAACGAAATTTGTTGTTAACATTTTACTCTTATTCGATGTTAATTCCTTAATTTACGATCTACATACATACATACACGTTTAAGCGTATAAATACTTGTTTTACATTTTCATTTACATTTTCATTCGATCGATAATTTTTCATCGAATTTCTGAAAAAGATTTATGTTCTTGATGATATAACTACGTGTTAATAAAATACAAAATAAAAAAGAAAGAAATGGAGTTTGTTCAGTATATCTAATCGATAATTAAATATTTTGATTTTATTTATTATTCACATACACACACACAATAATTTTTCTAATATTATTTGTTTATCTTATAATTAATATTATTTCGATGAAAATATTACATTATAATTGCATCTATTTTTTTTTTAATTTTATTTACGATGAAGTTTTTTACCTATTATTTTTTATTTTAATAACTTAACCAAAGAGAAATGTAAAACGTTGAAATATGTTTGTCACAGTGTGTCAATAATTTAAGAAATCGATAATTATAAATTCCTCATGTGTATTTCTTCAATACCTATGTGTAAATACTAGCGATGTTATTTTTATCTAGATCAAAATAAATTTATCGATTTATTAAAGTATACAGGTGAAAAAGTATCATTTTATTTTACAACATCGCGTTAACGCTATGTCAAGTTCAAAATATGTAATAAATATATTTTAAATAAGATTACGTTTATATATAATGTTAATATTATATAAATATATTGTACATTTAAAATAATATAACATCTGTTACAATATAATCTATATTGTAATATAAAACAAAAATATATATATACATAAAATAAATAACGCGGAAGAAAAATTATTAAAAAATTAAAAAACTTAAATTTAATAAAGATAAAATATTGGAATAATTATCCTAGTGAAACCAGTATCAACTTACTATGAATCAAAGTCATGTGTTATCCTATCATTAATACTTTCACAGTACGATTCACGATTATTATTCAACGTTAACTTGTAACATAATTAATGAATCAATATATAATTAGTATGTGAATGCAATGTAACGTTCACGTAGTAAAATCAATGTATTCCTGTATGTGCATAAGGTATATACGTGTAATTTATTTAAGAAAAAAAAAAAATTACGTCTATCGTAATATAATACATATATACATATACAGATAGCATATAAAATTACCTTCTCTTTCATAAAATCAAGGTAGACTTCGATTAGTTGATTCTTATTTTTTTTTCTTCTTTTTCTTTTTTTATTGTTTCACGTAATCGAACGAGAACGGTATTTATTACATTCACGAATGACGCATGTATTGTAATTTAAATATATACATATACGTGTACATGCATTATATAGTTTATCTGTGGAAAAGGTGGTTTTGTTGCGTTTTATAATTACACAGAAGAACAGGTTTCTCGTAAATAAATGTAAATTTTGAGTTCGTTAACTCATAGAAAGGCGTGTACGGTCAATCAGTGATCGGATTGGTTGAAATCTCGTATGTTACCGTAACTCGTTTCTTTTTATCATTTTTTATTTTATTGAAAAGTTTCGAAATTTTACGTTTTTTTTTTCTCTTTTTTTTTTTTTTTTATTTTAATACAGTAGTAGTAAAAAATGAGTTGATAGTAATTAATTCGATGGGATGCAAGGACGAATCGAAATAAAAGCTCGTAGATAACAGTCATGGTTATTGATGAATACATTTACTTCAGTTCATTTCCCATGAGAAAAGGAGAAAGAGAAAGAGAGAGAGAGAGAGAGAGAAAGTAATAGTAATAGTAATACATTATTCAAAAGAACGATAAACATTTCTTGGTGGTTATTTCAACAGAAGTATAAACATCCATTCGAAACGTATATATTTTCTTGTGTTTTATCGAAACAATTGTAAGAGAAAGTTGTTCTATATTGTAAAAAAAGTAAAAGAAATATATAAATTATGTTGTTTTTTATTTCAGTGAACATGTCGAAGTCGGGAAGCATCAAAGATACCGAAAAGGGTCCATACGATCCTGTACCAACGAATAATGACACCGGAGGAGACGAAATTAAACTCGAAGCAAAAATGTCTCTTCTCAATGGCGTTACCGTGATCGTTGGTTCAATCATTGGTTCTGGCATATTTGTCAGTCCAACCGGTGTATTAAAACATACCGGAAGTGTCAATGCTAGCCTTCTGGTATGGACTGCTTCAGGAATCTTCTCTATGGTAAGAATTTACCATAAATTTTTGTCGAAGAAAAAATAAATTACTAAATAATGTAGTACTATAATTTTTAAAATATGTGTATAAATTTATTGATAATTACAAATTTTTTAAATGACAATTATTAAAGTTAACTTATAATTAGTATTAGTAGTATTATAGTTTAGTAACTTATTTTTTATTTATTTTATAATAATTATATGTATTATTTTTGTTTATTTCTTTTTATATTCCTGTTACAGGTAGGAGCTTATTGTTACGCCGAATTAGGTTGCATGATCAGAAAATCGGGCGCTGATTATGCATATATTATGACAACATTTGGTCCATTCATGGCTTTTGTCAGACTTTGGATCGAGTGTATGATAGTACGTCCTTGCAGTCAAGCTATCGTTGCATTGACCTTCAGCATTTACGTTTTAAAACCTTTTTTCCCTGACTGTACACCACCCGAAGATGCTACAAGATTACTTGCTGCCTGCTGTATATGTAAGTTTTACATATATATTTCTTTTATAGATAAATATAATTAATCTTTAAGATTATTTCAAATTTTTTTTTTTTTAATTGATTATTTAATTGAATAAAAATTAAATGTCGCCGTTTTTGAATGGTTTATCATTGAAACAATTAGTGATTATACAGATACAGCAAGTTAGGTGTGAAACTTATGGCTTTCAATTCGAAAAGTGGATTATTCAGTTATAGTAGGAGTTAGTTTATTTTAGATAAAAGCTTAAATCATTGAAACTATACTTTTCTGGCTTTGATTCGATAGCAACACTAATTGAACTCAACTTGATTCCCACCGATTCAGTTGAGGTTTTTTTTTCTTCCTTCATCTCTTCCTCTTCCTCTTTATTTTTTTCTTCTTCTTCTTCTTCATTTTTTTTCCTCCTCTTCCTTCTCAATCTTTTATTTCGTCGATCGCAATTTCTTTGATTTTCTACGAACCCTCCCATTGAGAGTATATGACATCGTTGAATGCCGCCTATCCAGCTTGTACTATACACATTACAAAGGGTCATCTTAATAATATACGTTTCTCAATTCGTCTCTATTAAATTAATTACATCTAAAAAGGAGTCGACATAATAACTACGAGCAACATTCCAACGAGAGGGGAGATAGACAAATTTTATTCTAACCAGTTAAGAAGCTTAAATAATATATATATATAACACTTTAACAGAATAATCTATGGTAGATTAAATATAACCAAAGATTAAAGTATATTTGCTAAATTGTATGAAAGATATTAATAATATAATATAATAATAATAATTATTCTAGGAGTATATACTAATATATAAATTGATAAATATATTTTATATAATATGTAATAATACACATATATTTGTATTTTTAACAATTTATATATAAGTATATTAATAATATATAAAAATGCTAGAGTATATATATTAATTTAATAGTATTGAAAATATTATTTCAAATTTTTGTTTATTACTAATATTAGAAAGGAAAAAAAAGAAAGACTTTTTTCGTAACTGATATTATTAATAAATTTTGTAATGTAATATAATATATGATCAGAACTGATTGTTTTATTTTTTTTGTTTTTTTTCTTATTTTAAGTCATACTAAAAGATCAGCATTTTAAGATATAATACCGAAGGAAAAATCGTTTGTTAGAAAGTCAAACGTTTTTACGTAGAGAAAGGAAATTTGTTGGAAAAGAAGGATCGGCAATATCCTAATGGTCCTTAGAATTCTCCGAGGAAGGAAGATTTCTATCTCCCTTTTTTTTTTCTCATTTCTTTTCTTTTCTTTTCTTTTTTTTTTACAATCTTCCTTCAGTTTCTAGAAAAGTTCTTCTATTTTTCTCGATAGTCTCGAGTTCTAACGCGTGGGTGGTAAATGACGTCCTTCGAGAATTTCTCCTTGAGATCCTGAAAAGAATATTGCTTGTTCATTAGTATGGTATCATTTACCATGAAGGGGTTGAATCCTTGAAGAAAATTTCATTTCTTTTTCTTTTACATCGAAAAATATACATTATTTGTAGAGATTTTTATTTTTTTTTAAATATGTTTCTTAACTACTTATTTGTATTAGAAATAATTTAATTGCATAGTTTCT